ACAACCTAAATGTCTGAAGATCATTCAATGACAATCCAGACGGTTGACACAACTCGTGGTAATCGATCAAGTATCGACACCATCGCCAACCGATTACCGAAGCACAGCCTTAAGGCAGTCAGCCGGCTATGCTGAACGATCGCAGACTCCGTATCAGTCAAGCAATCCTTTTTGATATTTTATCGTATTTTCCTTGTAATTTACCAAAGTAACCCTTCAGAAGCTAATGATTAGAGAGCAAATCAGTAATTGTAACACTTTTATCCTCATGTCTATAAATAGGGGTCATTTCATAATAAAAGGTTATGCATTTCATGATTCTTTGTTGTTTCTTCTTATTTTTTTGTGCTACCCTCTATTCCTTAGGTGTGTTTCCTGGACACTTTTGGATCCAACATCTTTTTAGGTGCGGTGAGTGTGGAACCATGATGTCAAAAAGAAGAGGAGCAAAACAACAATAACAAGGAGAAACGAGTCGGAGAGGCACAGTAGAAGCAGGATGCACTAGAGAGTTTATGGAAGAATTTGCCCAACATGGATTGTAGGACCTGAGAACTCAAATCACCAATAACAAGTCGGGACAGTTTGCAAAAGCCCTCAGAGCAGTTGCTACCTTGGGAGCAGCCCCCGTCCTAAGAAAAGAACGGGTTCAACATGAAACACATGACCCCCTCGAAAGGAACCGCCAACGCATAATGGGAGGATACCAAACCATCTACAAGAGAGAGTTGAAGATGTGTTGTACCATAACAGTGCAAGATCCTCCTAAGTGGTGGAAAGACATCAACACGGGAGGGCTGAAGTGTTATGACGATCGGAGAACGCTTTCTCTCTATAAATCTTGGGAGTTTAACCTCCGGAAAAGTTTAAAATGTCAGTCTTGGAGTCATATAAGGGATGATTGGATTCCAATGACCACCTCGCATCTTTTGAATCTTCAATGTGCCTACTAAAGATCTTTTGATGTCTTTAAGTGTAAATTGTCATTCACAATGTTGAGATAATCTGCTATAAGATGGTTCAACGCATTATCGACAGGGTAATTACTTGCTACACAGTGTTCAGGAGGGTTTTTCTGACACAATTTTTCAGTGCAATGAGATCTAAGAAAAGTGCTTGATCTCTATGATAACAAAAAAAAGGACCCCATGAGAGATTGTACTCATTTATTGCATGCTTCCAGAGAGAAACGCCAGATGTGAAGGACTTGAAATCCGATATGGCCTAGGCCGCTCTATCGTAGTGGTTGACATCTGAGAGGTTCCATTTTGACCCCAATCTTGTGGAGCCCAGAGCTTGGTTGAATTGCCAAAGATGTCTAAAAAATATATCGACACATATGACAACACTCTCGAGCCCTCCGACTAAAGACACAAAAAACGATAATCATAAATAGTGGTTGGAAACTAAGAGAAAACGCACGACCACCTGTCCGTCCATGCTATGAAAGTCACCTGTAAAATAACTCAACTCACCACCAAGGTGACCAAAGAGGATGGGCAATGACGGTCTAGGTCATGAGAACATCTAAATCAACAAGATTTAGCCCTGCAATGCATAAATGAACGTCAGCACAGGGAACATTATAGGTTATGTCGACTTGGCAATAATTTCTATGGTGGTGCATACCCCAACTTAGCATACTTGTACTTTTCACTAGAAGGTCCTATGGGCTCATTGAGTCATGGTAGGCCACATATAATCTCGATACGGTCCTCTGCCACTCAAAAATGATGTCCCATATGCGTTGCATCAAAATGGAGGCCAGCATCCGCATAAATGACTTGATTCATGTAATACAAACCCAATGCAACATGCTCAATTTTATTAGCACATTTGAAGTAGTTATAATCTCCTTTTGTTCAGTTTTTGTGACATCTTTAAAATTTCTTTTCAGGATTCTTACATCAATATCACATGACCACTATACATAATAAATTATATTTGCAATAAATTTCATGATCAGTGACACCCCTCAACATCGATAAGCTTCACAATGGGTGAAAAATGATCATTTGTATGTCTTATAACAATTAGTCACCCGACAGTGACAAGCACTGCAAAAGGTGTATATTGATCGTCAATGGCTTTTAGGACATTTCGACACCCGATAGCGACAAGCTACATAAGAGGTGTGAAACGATTTTCAACAGCCCTTATAATAATCCAAAACCGACAACGACAAGCTTCATGAGGGGGTGTAAAACAGTAAGTCACCCAACAACTGCAAGGGGTGTTTAACTGTCATTAATGGCTCTTAGGGTGTTTTGATATCCAACAACGAAAAGCTCTGTGAGGGTGCAAAATGATTGCTATGACCATAAGGACAACTCACCACCAGGAAGCAACAAGCTCTGTGAGGGGGTGTATCATTCCTCATGCCAAACTAAACAGACTCAATAAAGGGTGTATTTTCTCTCCAACAATTCATAAAAAATGATTGATTATTCAAAAACAAGACTATGAAAGCTAGTTTAAAAAAAATGTTTAGTACAAGGATATAACCTTCAGCTTCAAAAGCTTCTTGCATTACTATAAAGTTTAATTACAAAGTTCAATTGCGATTTTTCTTATAATAATTAACCAAAAAAGTGTATCTTTTCCTTCTCAGTACAAGATATTTGAAGATTCTCCAACACCCTCCTCCCTGACTTTCTTTGCTCCCTTAGCACAACCTAATTTCTTGCTCACCCGATCGTATTCCTGATCTTTAGAATCTGAAAGGAGTGTGCCTTCCATCTCTTGTCATTTAGGATCAACCAATTTATGTTTCACAAATCATTTAAAGGTGAGTAAGTGTCGACCTCAACTTAGCGGGAAAGACCCTCAACGTGCTCCTCTAGGGCAATCATCAAGTACATTTTCTCTTTCAGTTTTTTCTTGAGAAGAGCCACCATTTGTGCCTCATGTTCATGGGCCTCTAACTTCCGCTCTTTCAAGGATAGTTTCAATCGCTTTTCAGTCACAATGACCAATTGTTTCAACTTTTGGACCCGCAAAGAAGATCTCTCTATCTGTTCCTCAGCCCTGTCCAAGTGAAAATCTTGAAAATGCTAGGTTTCCCAAGCAAGTGCATTGTATCAGTTGGTCGCTTGAAGCATGTCCCTCCTATCCATCAAAAGCAAGGTCTTCTCAAAAGTGGGGGCCCAAAACATCTCCATTAGGGTCGATGGGTAATCCAAATTTAGGGGAGTACTATGGAACCACTCCATCTCTCTGTCGATGAGGGCATAGTGGCCGCTCATCCATATTATGACTCTTCAATCATGTGTGAAGAATCACTCAGGTGAAACTTTCTTATTTTTCAAAGGAGATGGAGAAGGGGCAAACCTATGGCTGGAACCGAAGCTTTTCCTTCTCTCTGTGAGATGCCTTTCCCCATTCTTGAAACAACCCCCAGTTCTCCCTCAGACTCTATCCTAATCGAAATGGGATGAGAGGTGTGACTTGCCTCACCCTAATTTTGCAAACCTATGAAAGAGATCCCATAAAGAGTCATTGTAAGAACCCCACCAATCAATGGATGGCCAGACAAAGCACCAAAATCAAGAACAATAGGAGTCCGAAGAGGATCCTCCTCACTCCACTCAAAAAATTTCATATATATATATATGTCGTGTGCCCTGACCTGTTGGTTGGCATCCATAGTATAAGACCCCTCAGATCAGTGGTTCAAATCCCCTCTAATACAGTTGGTCTTAAGAGGGTGGCACTCAAATTGTTAGACACATTAGGGGTTATATATATATATATATATATATATATATAACAATAGGTATAAAAAATTATAATGCCTCTACTCACCTTCAGCATCTCCCTCGGCTGATCCAGGCTGGTCTGACCGACCCCTACCCTAGCTAGATGGGGGAAGACTGCCTTTATTAGCTGCTTAGTTACGCACTCTTCAGTGGCCCTTTCTCGATCATGGTGTCAATACCGTCTAGACGAATCATACGATCGAAACCCCTCATATTGAGGTACTAAAATAAGGAGAAGCGTTGACTCTCAATCAATACCCAATAGTCCTGAAGATCCACAAAAATGTTCTTCACCTTCTTCGCCTCGCACTCCAACTGGGAAACATGGAGTGCGCAAGAAGAAATCAAAAGCTTCATTTTTCAGTCCTTGATTCCATTTTCAAGGCCAAGCAACTGAATGTTGGAGCCAGTGGTGAACTGAATGTATCCATCCTGACCGATTTGAAATGAGATAAAATGGTTGAACAACTTGATCATCCAGAGGATCTTAATACATCGATAGAAGACGACAAAGGTCATGACAACCTCCACCGAGTTCAGAGAACCTAATAAGGAATGATCCCGTATTTACTGAAAATCAATAGCAACTCCCTGCATAATGAGAGTCGAAGGCTCTGCTTGAACTAGTTCTTGTAAAAAACCAAATAAATGCCAAAGTTATCTATGGCTCGCTCATGGCTGGCCTTCGGCCAAAGGCGAATCACAGGATTGAGAACTCTTCACATCAGTGGCAGAAAGAATGGAAACTTGCACAGTCGAAATTGAGTAAAACAACTTCTAGGTGAACTTTTGCACCATCAGAAGGAGACTAGGGAAGGTTTAGCAAGTAAGGAGAAAGAAAGAAGGGAAGAAAAAGAAAAGCTTCACAGAAGTAGGGAGATGACCAGCAAAATTGTTTATATAGAAATACATAGAATACGAAGTGCTACCGACAAGATAGCGATACGATAGGAACTGCAACATACCAAAGTAACTTAATCATGACCAATATATATATA